TTGTTGGCCCTCATTCGATAAATGGTATCACGAATTTCAAATCTCTTTCCATCTGGCATATCTTTCGTTTTCGATGATGGGCGAGTTTTGCGGTGATCTTCTTTCGGCAGTTCACTATTGTGATTTTGTAATACTCCTCTTAATTTGGTTTCACTAATTCCTAGAGCATCGCATACGCGTTGTTGTACAGACATTACCGATTTTAAAGGACCGCCATTTTCTTATTCATCCGTAAAATACTTATGTACACTACAAATTAGACTATCTACATCTAACACACGTCTAGGCATTTTTAAAATTTCCACTAAATTTACAATATACATACAATGTCAACACTTGCAAAGAATCAATTCAACTGCAATATTTGTAACAAATTTAGTACCTACCCTAATGTTATTTTAATTTAAATCTGACCATTAGGGCAATTTTACCTAATTTCTTGGGAAGAGGCTTATTGGAAGAGTTCCTGGTAGATGCGCCCGTGGCATTTGCGCTTTCCACGAAAAGTGTGCCACTTGCGCTCGGGTACCATTTTCGAGCATACTTGTTTTTTAAGAACGGTCAAGAGAGTGGCACTTGCGCCCTGTTTGTATCCAAGTAGGTAGAATAAATAAAAGAGCAAGATCAAGCAGGTAAGTAAACTTAAACTATTAAACAATGATAATGAAAATGTGTTTAAATACATTATACCTATTACTATTATATTTTTATAAAATATTTAAGGGTTTTTACCCTTAATTTCATTTAACAGGTATTAACAATAGTTGTTTCCTGGTCTTTATTTTCAGAGTTTTACTCTTAATTTTATTAAACATATACTAAAATAATTGTTTCATGGATTTTATTTAAAAGAATTTACGAGGGTTTTATCATTAATCTCATTAAACAGGTGTATAGGTGTATAGGTCAATGATCTTTTCGATGATGTGTCATACTTGGTACTTTCCCTATTTAAATTATATTAGTTAGAGTGACAGAGGGGAGAAGAGTAACATATGGAAATTAAGGATGTGATGAAAAGGTGTGCCACTTGCAATAAAAATCACCCAGTTTTTGTATGTTTTTTTTTTTTTAATTATTCTTCAGGATATTCGGAGATACGACCGCTAATAACTCTTAATCAGAGATACAAGAAAATAAAAGAAATACATAATAATAAACTTTTTTGGGGTAGTTATAGCCCATCTTCCAGTGACTCACTATAGTTAAAATAATAAAATTTATGGCAAGCATTTTAAGTTTACCTACTACCTAACTACCAATAAAACAGGACGCAACTGCCACTAACTTGACTAGACATGGGTAACGCAGCGCTGCGTTGCGTTATTGCGTTAACGCAGTTGTATGCGTTACGAGCGTTGATACACCAACTGTTACTGTATCAGCGCAACGCAATTTTCGATACTGAGTCGAAAGGATCGCGAGTTGTTGATGCGTCATGCGCCAGGCACTGATTCCATTTTCCGTGACGAGTTGAGAATTGTAATTTACGTAATTGATGCAACTCGTAATACAGATTACCCAAAATCTATCAAGTAATTATGTTCTTTGCAACATGTCACATCATTTGTAGGATTGTAGGTCGAATTTTATAGATTTTAACCTTGTACACTGTCAGTTTTTAGTTCTTCCCATTTTGATTAGCTACTAGTATAGAAAAGTTATATCCTTTTTATATAAATTGGAATTTTTGTATTCTTTGTAAAATCCGAACACAATGAAATAAAAAAATGGGTGCATTACACTGTCATATTTTCGTTTATTTTTAAACATATAATAAAAAAAAATTAGGTAAATTCCCAATTGCGTTATTATCTTGAACACGGTTTGACCCTTATAAAAGGACAGCCCGCGCTGAATAACACCGGTATCCGGTATCCTGCGATACACCGAGGTGCATCGACTTCATTCGGCGCAGGCAGTGATGTGACGCAATAACGCAATTGCGTTAACGCAATGAGTTGGCGCAATAGAGTGCGCCGGAGTTAGTGTATCAACGCAAAGAATTTTAGTGCGTTACCCATGTCTAAACTTGACCCTTCTTAAAAAGCAGGTAAGCTCCAAAAGTAGGATAGGGTGCAAATGCCACAATTTTAGGTAGTGGCCGCAAGTACCACAGGCGCATCTACCATATATCCTTATTGGAACTGGTTGTTAATGACTAATTTGCATAATTTTGTTAATCCGAAACCCGCGTAAGTATAGCGAACAGACTGTATAAACAAAATAACTTTATCCTTGACATTTCTCACCGATTGTTAAGCTTTATAATAGAATATAGAAATTATTAAAAATTAATTTTGACACAGCAATTATACTTCAACAAAACAATGAGTTGTAAAGCCTAGACAACAGCTGAACAGTACTCTAATAGTTGAAGAAGTGGTAGACGTCGAATAAAAATATAATAATCAGTTTAAGTTGTATTTAATCTACAATAATTATTATATTAAAATTTAACCTTCTTCTTTTTAACTTACTGAAGTTAATTGTCCCATAAATGGGTAACGCTTAAGTTAACAGTATTAGGACATTCTGTGTATGAAAATTATCTAAATTAAATACTAGAGATGACATAGCGTTTTACTTTGATAAAGGTTACGCAACTAATTGAAAAATAATTGAAAGTTTTTAATAAATTCAAAACCGTGTATATTCGTTATCAGTTAGAGATAGATAATAAATAATAGTGATGTAACGGTTTAATCATCAATTTTTAAAATCTCGCTAAGCATATATCGATTTTTTTAACCAATAGAACACCGCACATTAGATAACAAAATCGATTGGAAACAACAGATTGAAGGTCTATTAAAAAAACTCTCAAGTGAATTATTTATACTTCTTAAAAAATTATCGTGGTGCACTAAAAATAAAGTATGTAGAACGGCCTATATGGGCCTTTTTTTACAGTTATCGTATGGGATACTACTATGGGCACAGTTTATAGCTAAAGAATCAGTTCGCTCACTCTGCGTCGGCACTTTTGATCTCAATGTTCCTGTTTATTCACTGCGCAACTCGGATTTGTATCCCTGGCGCATACAGAATCAAATCATAACCAATACAATATATGACAACCGCTTATATTCAAACAGCAGTCTTCTGCGCATCCTGAATTTGTATCCTTGGAGTGGATGTTATTTTGGAACATCCAACTGGTCCGAGTGAGCTAACTGAGTCTTTAGCAATAAACTATGCTATGGGGAAATTATTTTTCGTTTATTTTTTACCCGTGAGGTCTCAGTATCTGTTAAAGGAAGAAGGATGGCATCATATACACCATTTGCCACTAATAGTCAATAATAATTATCGGTAAAAACTAGTTGTCTCCCATCTTCTAAAGGGCAAGAATTTGCATAGGTAAATTGTCTCCCAATGATAGAGGTAAGTTGTTTCCGATGACTCAGGTATATAATCTTTTAATCCAGATCAACTAATTACATGTATAATGTCAACTTCTGCAGGGTTATTCTACTAAATTTATAGCCCGGCTACAAGTTGGATTTTGGCTTGAACTTTATATGTTCCTAACTTCAAAATCCAACTTGTAGCCGGGCTATAAATTTAGTGGAATAACCCTGCTGGTCCGATTGTAATATTTTTTTCTGCTTATACAAGTTAAATATTAAAATGAGTTTGCAAGTGGTCTAAAGTGAAAAGTGTTTTCGGCAATAAACGCTCAAAAGTTTTCTTTTCAAAAAACATTGGCTGGAAGAGTTATGTACATCTAGGAAAACATTGTGTAAAGCTTACATTAAAATAGATGACAAAGATAATGTTATCGTGAACTCGATTTTGGATCATAACCATAACGAGTTACCTAAGCTGAAGAAGAAAGCACAAGACGATCTTTAATCCACCAGTACATTGAAGAAACTCATACATATTTAGAAGAACGGCGAATAGAAACCAACAAAAATTCAGATTTTGTAATAAAAAATGACAGATCCAACAATATCGTTATGTTTACATCTAAAGTGCCGAATTTTATCTAGATGAAACTTCTGAATATTGTCCTAAATTTTTTTGCCATTACATTCCTGTTATATTTTTCCTGTTATTCAAAGTACGAGGTGACTGAGTCTTTTAGAATTACAGCAGACTTTGAAATATCCATCCATATGCAATTTGTGCTATTTTTTTTGACACTCTTTTGTTAGAGGATGTCGTTTCTACTTGATACAGTCGTGGTATAGAAAAATTGAAGAGGTGGGTCTAAGTTCTGAATTTGGATTGGAAAAGTCGTTATGGGCATCGAGACATTCACATTCTCGAGCACGCAAAATATCCAAATGGAGTAACTGCCTTGCAAAATCTCTCCGTGAATGTTGAAAATTCTGACTAGTCATTGCCAAGTACAGAAGCATTTCGATATCATAGGGCTATCATAATACGTACTCTGCAAGGGATGAGACCATCCAGCATAGCCTCTACGATTGCCCGACGCTCTCATTTATTAGATTTGTGTTCGGCGAGAATAGGCAACTCAGGCTGATATAAAAGAAGCACCTGTTTGCGACGTTGTCAACTTAATTAAATCTATAGGCTGGCCCTCGAGCTATAGGAGGTACATATCTGCTTAGGAGGATGTACAATGGGCCTAGTGAGGTCTAAGTGCCGTGGGTTAACCCAGATAGAGATATCCCTATTGTATTTTTTTAACAATTTAATTAATTTGCTCGTATGATTTTGAGCTTGAATTTTCAGTATTACCCCGTATAATTACAAGCTTGGTCAATGGAAAAATAAACCTCTGAGGACATATTTTTTTGTATTGTTTCCTTTTTTATAATAAAATATATTTGGCAATATTTTTTTTTTTTCGGTATTTATTGTTGGTTTTTTGTTTGTTAATTATATAGTAATTATTGTTCCAATTGCACGCAATATTTCACAGTTATACACAATTTATTTACAAGGAGACTAGCGTAGTATAGTATATTCTAAAATTCTACATATAAGATAAATAATTATCTATTTATTTAAAGGCCTCTATTATTACATGCAACATCATACTTGCAAGTCCTTGGCCGGCATCCATTCATCGTTCATTCTCACCACGGTTGTGGCACAGCTAACTCGTGTGTGTATGTGTTCGAAAACAACATTAAACATTATAATTCGGATACCAATTCAAAAATTATATGTGTGATAGTGTGTTGGTGAATGTGCGGCGTATTTTAAAATACTATTCGATTACCGTAGTTTACAGGAATTCCATAAATATTAAGTAAGTACCTAGTGATTATACTCAGGCCTAGATATAAAACTGCAAATTAATTAAATGCATTTCTGAAGTTTTTTAAAATACGAATTCTTCCTCTCTATCTTGCCACTTGATTATTTTAGTTACGTCTTTGATGAATGGTACTTTTAAAGGTCTTTGCTCACTGTACATAACAGTATTAGACTGCGAAAGTGCGCTGTTATACCACGGTACTTCTTTTTTAACAGAGTATACAATTCCCCATTTTTTATTTAAGGATGGAGAGGGTATAAGTGCCCTGAGCATCTCTTCTTGAATCTCTGGGAGTAGAAATTTTGAGTAAAGAATGAAACGACAGAAATACAAATATTGTACATTGCAGATAAAATAGACAAACCTGTTTTCTATTTCCTCGCATTTAAGAATAGCTACTCAGTGGTACCGAAGAAAAAAAAATAGCGCGGTATAGGTATCCTATTTGGAACAAATTACAGAAAGTGTTTCTATGGATCCTTTTGAAATTTCGATAAAAAAAGTGCATAATATGAGGACAAAAATAAACTAGACGATGAATCAAACTTCAGGAAACAACAAAATTGGTAAAGGGAAAGGGACTGGATGGCAAATTACAAAATATAATGTGATGTGAAACATGGCTTAGAGAATTTCTTGTTTTCATTTATTTTACATTTTTAAAAATAAAATTTTGAAAAATACCAATAATAACAAAACTTGATCTTTTTGTAAACCTTTGAAAACTATTTATTTTGATAAGTTTTAAAAGGAATTAAAAAAAATACGCACCATTAATCTAGGAAACATAGGGGGATTTTCCACCTGTTTTTTTCTCATACCTCTCTGAAGAGTGCTGCCTTATCGTTACACAAATTCAAAGCTCTCAATATTCTCGAGACATATAACATCGCAAAGTATCCCAGTGGCGCGCATATAGATACAATTGTATATTAGAAAATCCTCAAAATATGTTTTCCCAAGAGGTCTGGTTTGCTCTTACATCCAAAAGACAATTAAATAGAAAAATTGGATTTACATTGAGTAGTCTATTTAGATCATTAAAGGTAAGAAGAAAAATAAATATATTTTAGTAATTTCAAATACTATAAAAGCTGAAACGAATCATGCACTTGTAGGCAAAGCACTGTTTTAAAAGTCAAATTTTTCAGAAACTTTTGAAAAAGGTTCTATTAGAAATGAAATAGAGAAGATTCCAGCATTTAAACATTCAACGATTAAATATCCATAATAATTATAATAAATACATTCCTGAATTCGTATTCCTTATTATAAATTTAGTTTCAACAGATAGTGACAAATATAGATATTGTTTCAATAAGAAATTATTAGAAACATCATTGGAATCATGTACGATTCAGGATTCTATTTCAGAAAGAAGGAACACCATTGTCCAGAAAAAAATATCAAGATAACTCAACGGGCGGATGTAATTTCGGCCGGAAAAAGGACAGGTACCTAAAGGGGATATGTAATATCGGCCGGAGGTTTAAGGGTTCGTTCTTATCGTATAGGTATTTTCGGCCGGAAGGAGCAGGTAAAATAAAATAAGATCTAGAATTGCTATAACATTCTTTATTAAACCAAAATCAAAGACACTATTACTTAAAAACTAGGGCTAAAAACATACATTACATTTTTACGAACTTTGATATGATACAGTTTTAACAAAATTAAATCTAGAAATTTTTCCAGACAGAAGCATATTTACCATGTTTTCAATAAATTTTAATTTATTTCTGACTTGCTTGTCTTTTATTTTTGCTGTAATATTTAAACTTTTTATTTTTAAATATGAATCGATCTGGAATTATTTTAACTTTTCTATAAAAATAAATATTGAAGGGTGGCAAGAATAAAATGAAGAATTCAATTTAGAATGGAATGATTCACAAGCGTTTGTGGTTCGTTTTATAGATGGATTTTCGTCTGCCCATATATTTGGTGGAAAATCGGAATCAGGTGCTATATAATATTGTAATAGATAGTCTGCGTATTTATCCAACAGTTCATTATTTGGTTTGCAAGGCATTAAATCAAATATAAAACAATCCTCAACATCAGATGGTTTTAAATAAGTAAGCCCAAAAGTGTGAATAAGCCATTTACTTTCTTCAGAGTTTTTATCTTTATATATTTGACTTAACCCTAAAAACTGAATTTTCCTGTACCACGTTTGATGTAAGTGAAATCTACAACCATTTATTTTCTTTTTTGAATAAACATTTCTTAGTGCGATATGTATTGATATTTCAAAATCTACGAATGCCTCCATCGGTTCAAAAACTATATTAAAAACTTCCAAAATTTTAGATTTAAGCAACAGAAAAAGTTTAATATATGTGTCAGCAGTCTTATTTGGTAACAGACAATATAAAAGAGGTATATAGTGCCCATTTTCCAGGCCATGAATGGTAAATAATTGATAAAAATATTTCGTACAAAAAGAAAATGTGCCATCCATATATATAACATTCATTTTACACAACGTAGTAATATTTGTTTGGCAAGAAAAAACAATGAAATTATCAACTGAACTGTTAATAAACAAAAAATTTTCACCTATTGTCGTTATAGGAGAATACATATCAACTACAGTATGTACTTCATGAATCTCTTTAGGCAGGGCTGGCAAGAGCTGACGACGACTGTTATACACATTTCTTCTTATGAGATTTACATCCGCGGTAATCAATTCGTCCGGTAAATTTGTTGAAAGGACCCTTTTTATAATTTTCGAAGGTTTCTCCGATATGTCCTCCTGGGCTTTTCGCTTGCATGCATTTGTGACAATTTTTCTCTGCAAAGAACGTTGATCTGGTTCATGATTGTGAGTTAACTCACTCCTGGTCACAATATATTCGGCACCAACAGTATACAATTTAGCTAAACATTTTAAATTTTTCCTGATGCACCTCCAACGTACTTCCCCACTCTTTAATACGTCTTGTTTACAAAATGAAAATTTTTCTACAATAAGCAAGTCACAACCGCGTGAACTCTTTACTATCGAAACTGCCATCATGTAATATAGATGTTTTCTATCTCTTGGTCGCCCACAAAATAAGTGGTTAGTATCTTAATATTAAAAGGTCCGGTACTTTGTAATTAGGTAATCACATTGTTAAACTAATGAAAATCAAATTAAGAAAGATGAATGTAAATGTTTTAACTTTTCTAAGAAATGGAAATATGAAAAGGGTAGATTATTATTTTCGGGTAGATTATTATTTTCAGGTATATTCCAAAATCCTATCATAAACATTACCCTCGGCCGAAATTACCTATGCCATTAGATGGACACTTTGCTTTTGGCAGGTAGGCGAAGGGATTACCGGTCGAAATTACGCCCGCCGAACTCAACAGCTAAATAGGTTTCTTGTTACCTGTTAATAATATTGATTACCTGTAAAAAAACTTCAGACAAATCTTCGTTTCACGGAGCGCAATTAGTTGTTTTTAAAATGCATCATTGCTTGAAACAAGTCCTAGATAATTTAATATTAATATACCACGTTTAATTAAGGGTAAAAGCGTCGAATTTGTACCGTCCTGTACGATATATGATAAATGGTCGTTTAAAAACATTTAAACTTGAACTATAATGGGTCATTTCCCGGCTTTATAAAAGTAAATACTTATATCAAATAATTCTGATATTACGTCGTTAGAAAGTTCAATAACTGTACTTTACTATCGGTTACGCAATCATTCAAATTGCTCATTTAACTAAACCCAGATATTGCCAAACTAAAACATTAAAATAAATGAAAGTATAACGAGATATTTGACAACGCGTAAGTAATGCACAAACAATGATGGTGTAAGTACCACGGATTGATGTGCAATTCTTTTGATTGCCAATCTACGGTTGTTAAAATAAAAATCGATTTAACCAGACCCCTCGCGAAATACAAAAATGTGAGGATATTCTAATATAAAATTGTATATACAAGCGCCACTAGAAATGGTTCTTATTCGTTTATTCCTAGAGTGACAAAATCTGCTAATAGACTAAAAAATGTAAAATAGATTATTTTTCTCCATCAGAATTTTGGAATATATTTTAAATTATTATTTTTTAGGATTTTATTACTATTTAATGACTGTGATATGTATTCTCTATTATTGCATTATGATTTAATGGGGAGGGGGGGGGGGAGTATAACCTGAGGGTCTTCCCCGGAAAATTTTTGTAATATTTGAGTTTGAATTCAGTTTTTGCTTGCTATTTTTGAAGTTGGATACAGGGGAGGATGGTGAACAACAAGTACTGTGTGCCGGTAGTGGGAGCTGCCGTGTGGCCTGACAAATTCAAAGTAAAGTTGCTTTTAGATATTAACAATAAACTTCTTTATTTGCACTAAATAAAGATTGCAAAAATAAAGTACACTATACTCTGTGGATTGTTCGTTTGTTGCAGTCAACGAAATATATTCTTCTAGGCTTCTTTAATAATAAAAAAAATCATATGCAAGCATTTTATGGCGTCCGGTATCTCTACTTCTGGTGTAGGGATTTTGGCCATGTGACCGGATATCGGAATATAGCTTAAACACGTTTTTTTCTGAATCTAAGATGATATTGCAAGCATTTTTTTGGGTTGGTGAAAGGGTTGATATCACTGAACTGTAAATGTACCGGTATAGTTCAGTGGTTGATATGCAAAAAAAGTTAACCTGAAATAGGTGTAAAATCGGAACCAAAAGTCGAAAAATGATTTGATTGATATTGTCATGAAATTCTTAAAGCCTACCCTGTGTACGCTCGACCTTCAGATGGAAACCGACTCGTGCTCAAGGCGACGGAACGTTTAGGCATGCCTGCCGCTGACGCACTAGAAACAGCTGCAACAGCGGAGAGTGCCGTTTAGTCATAGAAATGGAATGTTCGAGAGCCTCTAGTGTCTTCCAGTAGCGGAGTTGGATTAATATAAATAGCCGACGTATCGGCGCCCACTTTAGTTGAATATAGAACATTGTAATGAAAAGTTAAAATGTAAGAAATAAATTAGAATTGTTAGTTAGTGTCTAAGTATTTTATAAATTAAATAGTACGACTGAAATAAATTGTAAATAGTGTGTTTTTAAATAAATAAACTAAGAATAAATTAGACTATCGTCACAATATCAAAATGTTTGTATGATTATCAACTAAGAGTGTTACCCTTTATTCAGTAGTTCTACCCCATTCGCCATAAATTATAATATTTCAAATTTTTTTTAGTAAAACTGAAGTGAATAGAAGGTTGAATGATTGAACTATTATTTAAAAGAAGTTTGATTGCTCCCAAAATACTTGTATGACTCTGAACTAAGAATATTTGCCGTTCAGGCATTTTTTATTTAGCATAAAAACTTGTCAAAATTGTCTAGTGACGTCAAATCTTGATAATTATTACGAATTAATTTTATTAGTTTCCGAAAGCACGTTATGTTAATGAAAGAAAACATATTAAGAAATGTTTTCATCTTTTCTGATATTTGTGATAATATAAATTTGGATGTATTCTTGAATCCAAACAAGTTTAGTGGCCCATCTGCTTTCATTCAATAAAAAAAATAATGATTCCTATACTTTCCTTATATCTGTATACAGATAGGAAAGTAAAAATAGTACATCTTTGAAAAAATTATGTTTATAGCTTTCTAGGTCCACTGCTAGAGGGCGTAATTGAATTCTAAAATAACAAAGTTTTGTCGAAAATTGCATAATAATTAATGTCAGGTGTGAAATACAGAACTTCAGATTTCCTGGACCAAATTTAATAATTGATATATACAGTGAGCACCATAAGTCTTCCCCCCCCCTATCACTCGTTACTGGAGTCTTGTTAGGAAAATCGCCGAGACAGGTCGATTTTTGATTTCTACAATGTACATTTTTGTATGAATAGTTTACCCTTAATTTCATCCCTTACTGGAGAGGAGCAATCCGTTCGAAAAATTTAAATGGCATGGGGTGGTGAGTGATAGCTCATTTGAAAGAGGGTTTTATTCTCTATTCAACCGTGTAAAAAAATTTGAAATTTGCTTCATTAATTCTCGACTAATTGTTGTTTCAGAATAACGGAAATTAACGTAGCGCACTCATCCTTAGAATTAAAATTCGGCCCTGCATGACTTCGGTTATGGTTCAGACGTGAAGTAAGACTTTTTGCCATTAGAAGGTCACTGTTAGTCTAGTTGCTTTCCTATTTTGTGAGGTTTTGTTATTTTTAAACATTAATAAATCAACATGTAATGATGCAAATTTCAAAATTTTTTTGCACGGTTGAATAGAGAATAAAACCCCCTTTCAAATGAGCTATCACTCACCACCCCATGCCATTTAAATTTTTCGAAAGGGTTTTTACCCTCCAGTAAGGGATGAAATTAAGGGTTAACTAATCATGCAAAAATGTACATTGTAGAAATTAAAAATCGACCTGTCTCGGCGATTTTCCTAACAAGACCCCAGTAATGAGTTAGTTAGGGGGGTAAGACTTAATATGCTCACTGTATGTAATTTCTATTGATAGCTTTTATATTGTTTATTTATGTAGAATTTACAGAATATAATTTCAAATATTTCAATATATCTAACCTAACACAAAAAACTATAATGGGTTAAAAAATATAAAACATTAAAAAAAAATACAACGCCTCTGGACGATACGAGTAAAACTTAAGTTGTAAGCCTCTTTTTAGTGCTAAAATATTACAATTAAATATATTACAGTCTGAGTAAAATTTATTATAGCGTTCAATAATTGTTTCTATTTTTTAAGTTCAAAAGTGATATGTGTAGAGTCAGATGGCCATTGGATGTCAATTGGTTGTGAACACATCAAGTTGTCAGAATACCCTTATAATTTTCTTGTATAACTGTTATCAAACAATTGAAGATTAGATAGATATATTTATTTTAGTTACTCTACAAATTTTATAGCACAAAAATCAAATGTTTTTCATAATTATTTAACTCATGCAAACACTATGTATTGTTCTACAGACCTCACAATAAGAAATTATTATACCTACTTATAAAAATAAATGCCATTATAACCAAAAATAAATAATTGATGATCGTTTAGATAATTTATTTTAGAATTAATTAATTATAATGTTAGGTTCATAATTTTTATTGCATTACAATGCATAAAATAAGGATTGAATATTTTGAATATGTTTCTTCAATGACTTTAAAAATATACAATCTATTTTTAAAAATATTATTTTTAATAAAAATAATGGTTGTAAGGCATTATACATTATTGAAATTATTAAAATACATTTACTCCTCCATATTTAAATTAGATTAGTCTACCAAGATAATACAGCAATAGAAAAGCTATGCATGCATTCTTTTAACTCTTCCTGATTAAAAACAATAAAGAAACATTTAAGTAGCAATTTAAATTGATTAAAATGTTTGTAACATAGCTTAGTAATGACAATGACCAGCAAAATTTTATTGATTTTGTTTATTATTAGATACTGTGAATCAAATTTTAGTAACAACCTTTGATATCATTGCAAAAAACAAAGTAATACATATTGCAATTGATTTTAAAATTTGTCATAAAACCCAATAAAAAAGATTTTCAATTCCAAGTTCAAGTTTATAGCTTTAGCATCCTACTTAATTGTATGTGTACTTTAATGCATGCCTTATATTTAAAAACTTCAGTATTTACAACCTTATGTAATATTTTTTAATTAAAACACTCTAGGGGAATACAGATTTATACATTTTAATTCTTAAAATATAAATGCAGCAATGATGTATTCCAAGCATTAAACTAAAAAACCAGTTTGTAATATAAATAGAAAACCAATTTAAAAAGCAGGTATATTTTTTCACATACAGTCTGGTAGGTTATCATCATTACATAACACTTTTGAACATGCACTGGCTTATACTTTAAAAATTCCTTTGAATTACCTAAGTCATTGACGACTCATTGTGGTAATCATTTAATATTTACTATTTAGACTAAATAAAAAAAAAATAGATATAATTGCTTAATGAAAAATAACCATAATATAACGAAACAGTAACATATTAACAATTATTATCAACATGAGTGCCCATGAAAATTATCTATGCATTTAATTTTTTGCCATAAGTAAAACATTTAAAATCAGGTACCACTAGGTATATATTATTATTGATTGTGCTTGACAAATTACATATAATTGTATATAATTATATGTTATTTTTGTACTACTGAATTTTTTAAAGGTTATGTTTTCGCAATCAATAGTTGCATTTTGCATTTTATTCCTGTTGAGTGTAAGTGAAATTAAAATTATTCTGTATTCCGTTGCTACAATACATATAAAACCTCATCGCTATGGTAAAACATACAAAAATAGTATTTTTTTGATAGATATAACCAACTAGTTTACAAGGTAGGCACTCTCCCTATAATAACGTAATTATAATATTGTCTTACCTGGAGTTGGCTTTATTAATTTGGACGGATAATTTCTCTGCTCAAATAATTTGTTTAATTCGTCTTCCTCTGAATCCTTCTGGAATATAATAAAAACTAGAACCTTGTACACTTTACATTTTTATATGCTAACATGGGGTGTTTAAATGGATTAATATCAGTTTATTATCTATTGACACAGAATTGATATGATAAATTTCTCCGAAACATCAATATTAGGATATTTAACTACCATATATGTAATTTAGCCTACATAAAGGCTGCTAGATGGCCCTATAGTTAGTTATGAAATGATGAAAAGAATATATTTTGCAGTGCATAGAATATTACTAATTTTAAGAATGAATATCTTACCTTGATTAGAAGGTTTTGTTCAACAATACTGGAATCAACGTCCAGAAATATAGGTTTGGACATGTCTCTTTTTTAAATCAAAGGACTTTTTATTTTTGAGTTAATAATATTTCTATTTGTTATTTTGTATTTTGAATTTTTTACTATTAAAATTAAAAACACTGTCACTGTCAGTTGTACGTCACTTGTCACTCTTCTTTTTATATAACGTTAACCTAACCCTATATAAAATTGATTATCGATTTGAACATTAATTATTTAATAAAAAGCTAAATATATGTATATAAAATAAATACAATCTTCAATACAAACACACGTTCACGCTCGATGTTGTATGAACACCATATATTTTATTCTAATAAATTAAAACGGTTAATATGTTGTTTACAGTGTTGCCAGCCATCAAATTGATATGTGTAAATAGGTACAATTCTCTATTTGCGCTTACACTATTTAAAAATATGTTAATTTAAATTAAAATCCTCTTATCACAAATTATTTCATTCAATATAATGGTCATTGCCAAGTTTGTTTAATGAAAACAAGAAATATTCGCTTTTCGAGGCCGTTGAATAGAAGAAGAAGAGAATATAGCGATTTTGACTTTTCTTAATCATTTTTTCTCTTTAAAATTTGCAGGTCCGGTTCGGGTGTCAGGTACAGCTTTTATGACTTTAGCTAATGCTCATTATTTCTCTTAGCCTCAGGGTAGGTCACTTTACAGTTAGTTAATGCCCACACAAATACTGAGAATTACAGGTTTATCAACAATGTCTTCCTATAGTTTATTGTAAATCTGTAAATTATGCAGCACACGTTTTAGTGATTCGCACCTGATATAGTGACTGACAGGAACAGGCCAGGAGATCAGTATTATTACAAGTTTTGTGTTGAAATCAGTGCTTTTTTCTTTCTACTTGTGAATGAAAATTAAAAAAAAAGGTGAGCAAAAATATGCTTTAAAGACTTATTTAAATCCCTTATAATAAAAAATATTTCAGACCATTATTTGATAAAAAAAATAGGTTATTTAGCTTTTGTTCCTGTCCAAATCAAAACTTATTTTATTTTACAGGCTGATAAAAATCGATCAGGGTCATCTGAAAGATTACTTACTTATTTATTTTATTTATTAATCAATATTAACTGTGAATAAGTGTTATAAATAAAGAGCACATTATTTTTATCTAAAATACTTAACTGGCAAGGAATAAGGAAGATTGTTTTAAAATGTTATTAATAAATAGGGTTTCATTCACATAGGTATGTAATTCTTTTTGTATAATAACTACCTACTTTCCTACTTATATTGCCTAAAAGGGATGCTAACATGGGGTGTTTAAATGGATTAATATCAGTTTATTATCTATTGACACAGAATTGATATGATAAATTTCTCCGAAACATCAATATTAGGATATTTAACTACCATATATGTAATTTAGCCTACATAAAGGCTGCTAGATGGCCCTATAGTTAGTTATGAAATGATGAAAAGAATATATTTTGCAGTGCATAGAATATTACTAATTTTAAGAAATTTTGTAAGGTTAATTGAATTTCTATATATCTCATTACTTCATGTTAAATTAATTTAAACTATTATTTGGTGTGTATTAAACAAATATTTTTTAGTATTTTATTTAAAGGCATTTTATAGAAACATTATTTTTTGAAGCTATTCATAGGTACTTACACTAAATCATTAGAATACTTACCTACATTATGGAAGTCAAGTTTTTTGTTCTGATAGGTATGATATATAGAATTACAAGCCCATTAGTATGTTGTCAATCATATCAAAACTTTTTAGAGCTCTTTGTATTGGTATTGCAGTAATATCATTAATATCTCGATTAATATAACATGGTTTTACTATGGGTAGATCTACAGTTACCAATCTGATGATCTATCAACAATATATTTAATGTTTAATGAAAATATGCAATATAATTTGATATTAGTAAAATGAAAATTCATTTAATTCTATACAGCCGCTTGGATTTTCAGAAACTACTTCAGAGTCAGTAAATTTCACTTGATCAGTCAATACCTATAGGTTATACTAATCTAGTGGGCAGTTCTTTAAAAAATAATTCATCAACTGTATTACAATACAATATCTTTATTTACCTGAGAAAATATTACATTTTATGGCTCGTCAAATTACAATTAAAACTAAATATATAATAAAATTTACCTAAATATAATAATATAAAATTGAAATTTACAAACATTTACAACATAGTTCACTGAATCACTCAGAGGCCACAGTGACAGCCTCCATCCTCCATCTGTATTAATTTAAATTCCTCCAAGCTATATAGGCAATTATTGGATAATATTTGTTTTAATGCATGTTTAAATTTGTGTATAGCTCAATATAATATTTCTTTGTCCTTTCCAGTCTATACTGGATAGGGACTAAGTTATCTTTGTGCCTTGTATTATAGTTATGGATATCTGAGTGGGAAAAAAATGTGTTAATATTATTTCTTACGAATAGAAGGTTTTGATAGATTATTACTGCATAGAGTGTCATAATTTTAAGTTCTGGGAATACTGGTCTGCAACTGGCTTGCTAAGAAGCACATGTTATGGCTCTTATGGCTGATTTTTGCAAAATGAAGACTCTTGAGATATGTGTGTCAGCAACATTGCTCCAACATATTGTCCTGTATGTCAAATGACTATGAAATAGAGCATAGTAAGAAGTAATTGCTGCATCTTGACCACATATTTGGCATATTTTCCTGATAGCAAAAACTGCTCGTGATAATTTGGAACAAAGTGCTTCAATATGATCTGTCCATCTGAGATGTGGATCAATTTGAATGCCAAGTGTTTTAACAGAATTGTTATTAACTTGTTCACTATTTACTGTAAATAATTGGGAGATAGTTTTTGTGTCATTAAAAAACAGGTCATTTACAGAAAACCACCTCTTTGCCTGAATCATTACATCAGAGTAAACTTGATCATGATCTGATCCTCTTTTAGTATTAATACAAAAAGAAGTATCATCAGCCAATATTTGCCATTCATGCAAAAACAGCAGTCTATTTTTTGCCTTAGTAACTGTGGGAGAAACCCAATAAGAGCCCTGCCTTTTATTCTTCATTTGAGGTTTGGATTTAAAACATATATTGTAATATGAACTGAAGATTGTAATAAAAGCATTATATTTATCTTTCACCAAATATGCATCATAAACTTCTAGCCATTTTTCAGAATTTAAATAGTTCAGAAATAGTTCAATATTAAGAACTAGAATTAAAGTTACTGTTTTTTATTTGAGTTTGATCCAAAACAAACCTAGAATTGCCGTTATTACATCATGTTTAAATTTTATTGGTTTGCCATTTTCATGGGATAATTTTCTATTGAGGCATAAATGGTTCTGAGACTAAACCATCTCTAAACTCTAGTTCAAATTCTTTGGTTTATTTACGCGAGTTTGCAGTTACGAGAATTATTTAGGATCGCGTTTTTATGTATTTCCAACGAGGTTTTTTATAAATATTTAAAAATATAATTTATATTTTTCAAGTATTTTATTACATTTTTGTTCATTATTTTTCTTTCAGCTTTGCTGTAACAATATAGTTTCATAGTACTTAATGTAAGATGGAAAATTCAACTGAATTATTAACCACAATTAAACCAGAGGAAGCTATAACAAATTTACTTGGATTAGAGAGTAACTTAACGAATTTACTTGTAAATAGTACAATTGAAACTAATCCGTCTGAACCAGAACAATTTGCAGCTCTTAATAAATTTTGTGGATCCCCTTTTTGGGTAATAAATTATTTAAAACTGTAATAAAATTTGATTTTGAATAATTTCATTTACTTTTCAGGATGTATATTTGTCATGGAACGTTTCCAATCCAGAATTTACTCCTTGTTTTGAAAAAACTTTTATGGTATGGATTCCATGTATATTTTTGTGGATATTCACTGGTTTAGAAGTATACTATATGTTAAGTAGTAAAAGATGGAACATACCTTGGAATTGGCTGAATTTATTAAAATTAGGAATTACAGCAACTCTTATAGTTTTAACAATTAGTGATGTTGTCACGTCGTTTAAAACAGCATCTGCGAATGAAAGTGTGGTATTTGACGTCGATATTTACTCACCTTTAATCAAAATTTTTACATTTGTAAGTATACATATAAATTTTTTTGTACTTTGTATATGAAATGTTAGAGCATTAGATCACTTTGGTAAGATGGCCATCAAGTTATTCAGCACCTCTTGTTCCTATGTTTCATATTTTCCTGAATAATGGGTGCATAATATTTCTTTGTTAACAATGACCATTTGTTTTTCAGCTTCTCTCTGGCGGCTTGGTGTATTTCAACCGGAAGTATGGAATGCAAACATCTGGTTTGCTGTTCCTGTTTTGGTTCTTTTTAGCATTATGCGGCATACCACAATTTCGTACAGAAATTAGGAGAGGCCAGAACAATGATATTCCGCCGGAGCATTATTATTTTTATACCAGCTACTTAATTTATTACCCCCTGGTGTGTCTGATGTTCATACTCAATTGTCTGGCTGATCAAGCACCGAAAGAAAGGAAATATCCACAATCTAAGGTAAAATATAAAATTAGTTAGTTACTCAAGACCTTTCTTACTGTTTTTTGAATACCTTCTGCTGGTTTAAAAAATCACATGTGACAAAATCTGGTAAATAGAGCAGCTGCAGTATCGCTGATATAATGTTGCACACTGTTTTGATAACTATACATTTATTTATTTATTATGTCTTTATTTGACAAATGTACAACATTTACCCAAAGAAGGTGAAGATTAACTTTCTTTGGTAACAATCTAAATATAAATACATATTCAAAATATATTAAAAATCAATCAGAAGAAAACAACATTCTTTAAACAAAAACATTTATAATATAATCAAAGAGAAGGAAAACAATAATATTTTTGAGTACTGAGTAGGTTTTCTTTTATGTTTAGCTTAAAACTATTTAGAGAGGCATTCCAATTTAAGTGGTAAAACCTATTATGTAATTTAGCAGCTTTATATGAAAAATATCTTTCAAACATACAAGAATAGTGTTGAGGCATTGTAAGAGTATTATATCTTTATTTTTATGGCAAATCCCTAACTATTTTTAGTGTGTGTCAAACATGTTCTATCAGGTTGTGATCTGAACTGTTGCAATATGAACAATTAAAATAATATGTCTTTTTGGTTTTCATCAGTTTATGCTTTTACATGATCAAAATGAACAAAGTAGTAGTATAAATGTTTTGTTTTGATAGCATCCATGTCCTGAAGAAGGCGCCAGTTTTTTGTCGCGTTTGCTATTCAGTTGGTTCGATCCTCTGGCATGGAAAGGGTTCAGAAAATCTTTAGAAACCAAAGATTTGTGGGACATTAACATTGAAGACAGTTCACGAGAATTGGTACCGGTGTTCGAGAAAGCTTGGCAGGAAACTTTGGCTAAATGTGAAAGGTATTTATTATTATAATTTTTATATTTTGCTTTATAATGCTTGGCTTGGCTGGTAGTTGGTTGTTGTGTTTTCCTTAGTTAGCTTAAGCACTATATATTGTTGCAGTACTAATTACAGTAAATAAGGATATTGACATATTATATGGCTACGAATGGTTGTTTACTAATGAAAAAAGTGTGAAGAAAAATGTCGCTATTAATTTACAGTAAATTTTTGTTATTACTACTTCTATGACAAGCTGAAGAGCAACTGATCCTACTGTTTGTGGTCTATTATTTACTAAGTACTCTGGTTGTGTAGTGAAACTATAACACATAGTCTAGCTGTATATATTCGCTTCGTAGTTTTTCTAGAGCTTGTCCGATCCATAGGTAAATTTTCTTTGTGTTATTCTGACAAAAAACGTTATTGAATGATTACAGCGCGCCTCCTAATCAAGTCGCCGAAGCGAAATTTAAATCTGACTCAGGTAGTGTGGCTTTTGTTAGTAGCAAAAAGAAGAAGGAAGCGTCCGTTCTGCTGCCGCTCGTCAAATGTTTCGGATCCGTTTTCCTGTTCGGAGCTCTCCTCAAATTGTTCCAGGACCTTCTGACGTTCGTCAGCCCGCAGATTTTGGGGTAAGTCTTTTACAGGAACATTTTTTTTTATATACAGGTTATAATTGTAAGAAAATCTAACGTTGTCAATTCTGGAGATATGATGATAATTAAACGATTTTTAGTTTTTTTTACTTCCTTTATTACTTATTTTTTACATTTAATATACTACAAATGATACCTATTTACATATTTTTTATTATATATTTATATACATTTTGTGTTGCATTTTTATTTTTTATTTTTTTCGATCAATAGCTCAGGATAACAGCTAAAAACGGTTACTACAAGCTGTATATATTATTTTTTCGAGTCACTATTTGAATCGCATCATTTTTCAGATTACTAATTTCTTATGTCAAACACGACGAACCGTTATGGAAGGGTTACTTTTACGCCATCTTACTGCTTGTTACGGCAATGGTCCAAACGCTATTTCTCTCGCAATATTTCAACAGGATGTACATCGTCGGTATGAGAATTCGTACAGTACTCGTATTGACCATATACAGGAAAGCTCTGAAGATATCGAACAGCGCTCGAAAAGAGAGCACCGTCGGTGAAATCGTGAATCTCATGGCCGTCGACGCGCAAAAATTCATGGACCTGGTGGGTTATTTGAACTTGATCTGGTCGGCGCCTCTACAGATTTGTCTCTCTCTGTATTTCCTTTGGCAAGAACTGGGACCTTCGGTGCTAGCTGGTTTAACGTTGCTGATCATCTTGATTCCGATCAATGGTTTCATAGCAAACAGGGTGAAAACGCTGCAAGTGAAGCAGATGAAGAACAAGGACGAACGAGTTAAATTGATGAATGAAATTTTGAACGGAATAAAGGTGTTAAAGCTGTATGCTTGGGAGCACAGCTTCGAGGAGCAGGTGTTGAAGATCAGGAATAAGGAGATTAAGGTTTTGAAGCAGGCCGCTTATTTGAATGCCGGTACTTCTTTTATTTGGTCTTGCGCACCGTTTTTGGTAAGTTATTCATTTTTAAATTTTTAATTTTATTTCTAAGGTAATAGACATTTTTATTTTCTCTATAGGTATCGAGTTTTATATCCATGATTTACAAAATGTAGAGCTATCATGTAAAAATATATTTGACTCTCTGGGACGTCCCAAAAAATCATATTTGAACCGTTTATTTTGACATTTTTAGATTTAATTGGATTTCCATGATTCCGGTTGTCACTGTATACTTCGTAGAAACGAAGTTAGAATGAATAATTATTTAGCCATAATCTTGTAAAAGGTTGTAAAATGTGTTGTCGATTCGTAACTATTTTTGAATATTTATAATTTAAAGTGGCTTTTTTAGAAAAATTTAAATGAAACATTAGCTCTGTAGGCCTAACAGGCCCCTAACCCAATAGTTTAACTTTTTCCTGTCTTTCTAGTTGTTGATCTTCAAAGACTAATCTTTTAGCACCATCTGTCTAATTTTTGATCTGTCTCGTTTTCTTTTTCCTCCTATGCCTTTTAGGTATTCTTTCACTTTTCATGCGTTCAATATGTTCCAATCCTATTCCTCAATTGTGCATACAATGTCTAGTTTGTTCAAAATAATTCGTGTGATTCTTCTTTCCTATACATGGTTCTTTTTTTTTCTGTAAATGTTTCGCAGGCACTTTCTTTTTTACATTGTATTTAACCCCCTTTGACTTTTTAATCAACCCCATAATACAATCATAATATGAGCACTTTATCTCATAGATGAAACTGTGTGTATAATTTTTATTTGTTAAATTGTATATTGTATAATTTATCCATTGTTCGAGTTTCCCTGCCAAACAATACTTTTTGGGTCTAAATATTGATTTGTATATTCTGAGTTTGTTCTTCTGGATAGTAAATTACTGTTGAGTAAATTAAGTTAAGTGAATATATACATTGTTTCTTTCAGTAATTCTAAGTTCTTAAATAAGTAAATGACCCAACTTTTTAAAGCTATAGATTTTTTTATATTCTAGTGTTCATTTTAATCTTTCTACTTTTTACAACTTTTTTTTTTTGGTCTTATATATTTATTTTATTTTTATTTCATTTTTTTTTTGTTCAAAGTGATTCATACCTTTTAGAGGTGGCATAAATAAACAATTTTTGCTTATTAAATACTGGGTCTTCAACAATACCGAAAACCCACGTGACCAAATCGTCATGACAGCGATTGGTGAAAATAAAAGTGAAAATCCCTAGATGTGAGCCAGTGCCGTAGGTATTTTATTACAAAATAGATCTTCTTTTTTTATGGTCTGCAACTATGAGAACAAAATTTAGTTAGGTAACTGTTAGAATTACAACACAAACTCATAATATTAATAATTGGTGCTTTACATTATTGTATTTTAATGTTAGAATTTGATAATTTAATTAGATTTAGTCAAATGCAATAATCTAACTTTTAAAATTATGATATAATTAACATAACCTTAAAAACTGAGCTATTTGTATTAATCGAAAAGAATGATAAACTGAATTATGGTTCGTACTAGTTATTGCTACTATTACAAAAAAAAAAACCTTTACCAGAATGTTATGGACAAAAAGTGTTATGCATTAAAATATGAATATTAAAAATTATTTAGATTGACTTTAAGCTATTTAGCTACAGCTGAAACTTTAAATACGATTGGCAGAATACAATGGCAGTATTTGGCAATTATTGCAGTTTAAGTAAACAAATTTAAAACTTACTCGAATTGTACCTGGGCAATGGGAAATAATAAATATTTTTTGAAGTTTGTCCTATTATTTATTTGTTACAGGGTTTAAACCATTTACAAGATATATTATGTTACTTATATGTATACAAAAAATGATTAATATTATTAATGTAGCAAGAACACATTTGTTTTTCCTTATATATCTCACTTTAAATTATAAAGGCATACCTATTAACAACTATTTTATTTAAAAGCATATTCAGTAGCGCACAAACGATACTAATTCACAGTACCTATCTGTTCAAAATATTTACCACCAGCTTTAATACAAGCATTAATTGTTCTTCTTTGAAGACATTATGCAGTTTCTCCTCAGTTATATTTTGTATTTCATTTAATATAGGTGCTCCAGTTCATAAACGTCACACAAAAGATTTTGAATTGAACGATCTGTAATATTCCATAGGTAGGTTTAACAAAATTAAGGTAAAATGATTGTTGCAGTACTGAAACTTTATAGGGGATGCATATCAGAAATGTTTTCAATACTTTATGGCTAGTTCGTAGTGACAAACCTAAAAAAAAAAGTTTTGAATTTCACTCGTCAGAGTCAGTCTTTGAAACACCGTTCATACCTGTTTGAGGTGCTGTTTTTTTACTAATTTATTGGGAATTTGCACCATGTTAATTTGCACATCTTCAACAGTGTTTGTTGTTACTGTGGGCCTTTTAGAGCTTTTTCCTTTTTTTTATAATTTTGAACAAGTATTTGTTTATGACGACAAAAAAGAATCACATTCCATTTATTCAACTGGAAAACGTTCCTCAAATTTTCGAATACAATTACGAATATAAAATAATTTTGTTTCTGTGTAACATTACCTGAAATAAAATAAATTATATAGTCATTAACTTTTACGAGTTACAGTAAATAAATTTGTACTTACCAACAAAAAGAATTAAGCCACCAATTTTCTCTAAAAATAACTAATTGCTTTATTACTATTAAATGAAAAACGAAATAAAGGTGTTTATAAAATGTAAACAAACATAACATAAATATTGTCAGTCCCCAAATGAACGCCAGTGACATTTCTGACAGGACTGACAGTTCAGTTTTGTTCCTTTTACGTCAAATCAGGCCCTTTCGATGGGTTTTTGATGGTTATCAGATCACGTGGGTTTCGGGTATTGTTGAAGACCTGGTATATCCGAAAATGCTTCATGCCCCATACATTTTAACATTTCTTGAAATGTGATTTGTCTGAATGAAAAGAAATTCAAATTACTTAGTCTAAACATCTATTAGACCATAAACTTTAATGACCTGTCTTGCAGCTGGTAAACATTTACATTTATGAAGATGTCTTATACCTTTAGCTTGTGTCTCATTAAGAATTGAAACTAAAAACATTCGAAAATCATATTATTTTATTTTTGTTTACGCATTAATTTAGGTAACGTTACTTACATTCGTGACCTACGTCTTCAGCGATCCGATAAATAATACTTTGTCACCGGAGAAAATATTCAAATCGATAGCATTGTTTTCAATAATGGGATTACCCATGGCTCTTCTACCATTGCTAGTGGTTTTTATTATCGAGGTAAAGAATATTTGACGAAAAGAAGAGCATGTTAACAATCTTCAGTAAAATTATTAATTCTTTACTATGATTCATTGGTGATTTTAAAATCGATTTTGTTTAATTTTATGAGACAGAGGACAACATTGACGGCCAGAATATAGTAAGACACTTTTATCAATTTTTCCTTACATCTGGGGAAATATGGGGAGCTGATCTGGTAACACCGCTCTGCATTATTCAATGGTGATAATTCTCTTAGACAGATAACAAAATAACACGTCATACATTTGAAAAGTCGCGAAACAGTGATTTTAATCGATCGCCGTTTCTGTCAAGTTTCTGGGTAATTATCAGGCGATGCGGTGTTGTCAAATCTAATCTAAAAATTTCCCCAGATGTGTGGAAAAAACGATGAAAGTAGAGTCAAGTGTCTAAATATCTACTATGTCTTGGTACCTTATTTTGAGTTGCTGGATCATTATGTAAACAAAGTTATAAGACCTTTTGAAGTCCAAGTTTCCATACAATTAAACAAGTGCATCATCTAATTTTTATATTAAAACCCTAGTTTGAAACTATAATACTTTAAGTCCAAATTATAATAGGTGGTGTTGCTTTCGACTTATTTATTCTACTTATTATTTTAACAATTTCTCAGGTATCGCTAGTCACTTTCGCTACCTACGTCTTGGTGGATGATAAACATGTATTAGATGCGAATAAAGCCTATGTTTCTATCTCTCTCTTCAATATCATAAGATTTCCGCTGAGCATGTTACCCATGATGATATCAAATTTAGTGCAAGTAAGGATTTCTGTTTTATAATGTCGATGTCATGTTGCAAAAGCATTTTTTACTTATCTAAAGATTCGGGTTTCTCTGTTAAGTTTAATTTTTTTTTTAATTAATATATAAAAGTGATTCAATAATTTTAAAATTTAGTAAAAATGTATTTGCTTTAATTAACCAATTCATTTTCTTTCTTTTCTGCTTCATAATAACTTATTCGGTTATAGATAAAACATTCAGTTTCAATCTGTTTTATTGCCTGTTTTTATGATATTTTTGCAACTGAATGTTAAAAAAAAGGTTAAATATATAGACGAATTAGAAAATATTATACTTAAAAAAAATTGTCCAATCAATCAAAATTCCATTAAAGGCAGTAAAAAAATATTTTCTAATCACATAGTTTTGAGGTGACGGTTTATTTTTTAAGTGCCACTTTATATTTATCAATTTTCCTTGCTGCTATTCCTATTAAGTGAAAGAGAAATTGCTGTTTGTTTTGTGAATTTATTTAAACAGCTTGTCATTCAATTCATTTCCACTAAGACACCCATTCATTTTATAAAAAAAAACCCATCTGCACCAATTAATCCTTTAACGAGAAACTCAGGCTGTTCACACACATATGCTGCGGTCCAGAATGTTCCAGACATTTCTAGAATATCACTAGTAGACTGAACGATTGCTTCGACCGTCGATTACGAAACATGGACGCATCATAAGAGTTTCATCGAATATTATTTGTAACGAAAAAATGGAGATGGTAAAAGGCCTAAATAAGGCAGCGACCGGACTGGTTGAAAATGGCTCTTATGCCAGTATTACACTTTGCAATTCATTGAAAAAGTTTGTAAATCATTGTAAAAAGTTTAATACCCTCTCAGATTAGTTTATGAGGATTTATTTGCAAGCAAGGAAAATTGCGTAATTTGAAGTGGCTCGAACACATCCACAATTAGTTATTAATAAATTTATCTATAAATAGACATGGGTGTCAGTAAAAAGGATAAACAGATTCATGAACGCTGAAGAACTAGATCCTGACAACGTACATCATGAGCCTTCTGAAGGTAAGAATCTAACTATACTTGAATCGATCAAAATTCTTCACAAATTCCAGACATATTATTACTGCCAATTATTATCTTTTTACAATATAGATTCGGCAAATTTGATTTACATTATATATTTTTCTCTTGGACAGATTCGCCACTTATAATCGAAAACGGAACATTCTCATGGGGAGGCGACCCGATTCTCAAGAACATCAACATCAACTTGAAAAAGAAAACGTTAACGGCCGTGGTCGGTACAGTCGGTTCGGGAAAATCCAGCTTGGTATCGGCGTTCTTGGGAGAAATGGATAAAATATCTGGAAGGGTTAATTCGTACGGACAAGTAGCGTACGTTTCTCAACAGGCTTGGATACAGAACGCCACGCTTCGGGATAATATTCTGTTTGGTAAATCGTACGATAAGGCTTTGTACAATGATGTAGTCGAAGCTTGCGCTCTCAAACCCGATCTGGACATGTTACCGGCTGGAGACCAGACCGAAATTGGAGAAAAAGGTTCGTATAACTTGTATTTAATTTCTGACCATTTTTTCAATGTTGCTATTTCACTTTTTAAATGTTTATATATGATTACGGGCAGGGACGATTCATATTACTTTTTTATCATATAAATATTAGCTCTCCAAGCCTTGATAGGTTAATTTTCTTCTGTCTTTTGCTTTCTTTCTCTAGTTGTTGATCTACAAAGACTACATCTTTTAGCACCTCCTGCATTTATCTTATATTCGGCCCGCCTTATTTTCTTTTTTTTTCTGTCACATTCCATTGGCCTTTTAGGTATTCTTTCATTGTTCATGCGTTCAATCCGTTTCAATCTTCTTAATTGTGCACACAGGGTCTGGTTCGTTGAATAATTCTTATAATTCCTTTTTTTACTATTTTTAACATCATTGTATTTAACCCCCTTTGATTTTTTAATCATACCCATATTATGATCATAATGAGGTATAAAATTTTTCGATATGAGCATCGATAATATCTTTGTAGATATCATCACGCTTTATCTCATAAATGAAACTATTATATGACAATTTTTATTTCTTCAAATTTCACTTCTAAACAATACTAAATATTGATTTGTTCATCTAGTAGTTACTTTGAACTTTCTACCGTTGACAACTTCTTTTTTGGACTTTGTCATGTATTTTGTCTTCATTTGATTTATTTCCAACCCCAATATCCGCTGCCCAGTGCTGTAGTCGTAACAATACGTCTCAAAGTTCTTACTTATTTTTGCTATACGAATGCCAAACCTTTGATGCCTTTTATCTTTGTTTTTTTGCATAATTAAACAATTACATATTCCGAAGACAATAATTGGTCGTCCTTCTATCATTTTTAATTCCTATGTACATTAAATTTGGCAGGTATCAACTTGTCTGGTGGACAAAAACAACGAGTCAGCTTAGCCAGAGCGGTCTATTCGAACGCCGACATCTACTTCTTGGACGATCCTCTCAGCGCCGTCGATAGCCATGTAGGCAAACACATTTTCGAAAAGGTCATAGGACCGACGGGTCTGTTGAAGAACAAAACGAGAGCTTTGGTAACGCACGGCATTGGTTATTTATCTCAAACCGATAAAATAATTGTACTGAAGAACGGTCAAATATCCGAAACGGGTACTTATCAAGAATTGATGGATAGGAAGGGAGCTTTCTCAGACTTTTTGTTGCAGCACATCACGGAGGAAATAGAAACCGAAGAAGGTAGGAACATTTTTTTTTTAATTTGTTAATGGGTTTGAAAATATGCGTATATTGGGCATATGAGGTGACAATTGGTTTACGGAACAATTAATTTATTAGATACCCAATTTTCATTTTCTTGAAGACCTTAAAAAGTAAAAATTTTTTTGGTCTCGCATGTTTTTACATAATTTGAAATCAATTGTCGGATTTTAAATGGAAGCAAAATATTTATATTTTAACAAATAATAAATTTACACCTTGTTTTAATGAATATTAAATATGAAAAATACTGTACTGAATATTTTAATTCTATTTAATTTATAATTATTGAATAATGTGTTTTTTTTTTTTCGATTTTATAGGTTCTGACATAATAACCGATGGTATGTCGTTTGCATCTTGTAATTAATGAGTAGATAGTGTTTGATTGATATTTTCTTTTCAACGTATTTTTTTGTGTATCGTCCATTTTAGTGTTGTTTTCGTTCACTTCATCATTCGTACTTTGTAGTTTCATGAAAGACATGCCATCATATTTTTATTTTCTTTTTATCATATTTTACCTCGATCTGAATATTTTTCTTTTTACTTTACTATTAAAATTCCATTTATTACTATTTTTAAAATCAGTAAAGATTCGTATTTTTTCATCACATTTTAGACTCTTATTTGTGTGATTTTATTTGTTGTATGTTTTATATATTAGTTTTTTTCTTGTTGAAGAATTTTACAATGATATTAGAGATTTATTTAATGGTTTTAAAAATAAAAATTAGACCAAAATAAATCAGAATTGTATCAGGAACGGACTTTAAAAATTTAAACAATCTGCGTAAGTTAGCGGCATATGAGAAACTCTTTTATTCATTTTAGGAGAGAAAAATATTTTTCATAAAAAGTTGTGCATTGTCTAAAACCGAAGATTCAAAATCCTCGTATACGATTGATAAAATTTGATATCAGATGGTTGTAATTAAGATTTTAGATCATGCACAACTTTTTATGAAGAATAACTTTTTTTTCTAAAATTAATAAAAAAGTGTTCAAATGTTTTCAACTTACGTACAAAGTATAAGTAACTGATGAAGATTGGGAAAAATAACGTCAGAGGTTAGAACGCAAAGGTATGAGTAAATATAGAATATAAATAATATGGGGTTGATTAAAAAGTCAAAAGGGGTTAACTACAATGTTGTTAAAAATAGGGTTAGTCATGAGAATTATATAAATTGTCTAAAATAGTTCAAAAAATAATCCTACAACCGAAATTCCTTAGTCTCCACCTTAAGTTAAAATTAGATATTTTTTCTTCTCTTTTCTAGAACTCATTAGCTCATCTTAATGTTTTTCTAGCCTGTGTACTAGGGCATCTTGTAGAAGATAGAACAACAGAATTGTAGAACGTTGCAATAATGCACAAATATTTAATTTAGTAAATAGCAAATCACCCTGTTTCTTGGTAATTAAAAAACTTAATGTCGGGCAGTCTGCAGTGAAATTTAACTCAAAAAGTCCGTTCCTGTTCTTCTCCTCCAACATCATTGCCAAATCAAACCCATTTCACGATATTTTCTTCCAGAATTGGACGAACTCAAAGACCAGTTGAGCGATACGCCTCTAGCAGAAGAAGTCCAACGTAAATTGGTCAGGCACAGACTCGCATCCGAATCGCTCTCTGAAACCAGTTCGGATCACCTCGGCAACGGTTCGATCCAACGATTAAACAGCATAGAAAAGAGCACCCGAAAACAGTCCGTTGAAGATTCGAAAAAAATGTTCCAAACTGGTGAAAAATTGATCGAGGTGGAGAAGGCCGAAACCGGTAACGTTCGTTGGTCCGTTTACAAGCACTATCTCAAATCTATCGGGATGATATTCATGCTGTCGACGCTGATATTCAATATGATTTATCAGGGTTTCAGCGTGGGGTCGAACGTTTGGTTAGGAGTGTGGGCTGACGATACCAGCCTTGCTTACAATGGTACCGTGAATGCGGCGAAAAGGGATATGTATTTGGGTGTTTATGGTGCTCTTGGACTGGGACAAGGTAAGTCGGTTTTGTTGTTATAAGCTCGTAGCATGATGGGTTTCTATTTCAGTAGTGGGTCTGGTTTGGACTTTTCTGGTGTTAAAAGAATTCTTCTCAGTCAATGAAAGTAATTTTAACTCATTAAATTTAAGTTGGTGTTCGAAAATCAGTTTGTAATAAAAACAATTATGGTTTATTAATAATTTAGGGATATTCTGAATTCGACACGCATTTCTTTCATTGAATGATTAAAAATTAAAATATTTACACTGTATATACAGATTGTATGCTAGAAAAATAACGGTAAAGGTTAAAACGCAAAATATGAGTAAAGATAGAATAGAAGTTAATTTACGCAATATGAGGTGAATTAAAAAGTCAAAGGGTATTAACTATATTGTTGTAAAAAGTAAGATTAGTCATGAAAATTATATAATTTGTTGTTATGAATAGAATACTCATAGTTTTTATATTTACTATTTAATAGTTTTAAAATATTTTTACTTTTATTAAATAATCTATATTTGAATATAGCACTAGAAAAGTCTGTTCCCTAACAACTTCGAAATTATTCTCAATAAGATGCAAAAACAAACGAACTCAATGAAATAAATTTTTCTTGGGGTTTATTTTACTTTTTGGGGATTTGAATTTTTTTTTAATATATTATGAAAAGATTATTTTGTTACATCTTATAATTAGGTACTAATAAAAGGATATTTATATCAATAAATGTGTATTTAAATTCATTATAGACAGGGTGTTTAAATTTTTTATAGTTTTTGAATCATTGGCAAAATTAAGTGATTATCTGTTTTATAAAATTATTAAAAATAATAAATTTAATAAAAAAAAATGTATAATTCAATAATACTAAACAGACACAAACAATTAATCTTAACAAAACACAAAGATATCATAAATAACCATTAACCAATAAAATGTAATATCGATAAATAAAATTTAAATGATAAATGAATTCCGAGAAAAATCAATTTAATTTTCTATCAAATTATAAGAATTTATGTAATAATTAATAATAACATTATATTATATTACGCTTGATAAGTATCTACAATTGAGAAACAGATTGAATGAATACTCTTATTAATGATGTTGATGCTTCTCAATTATTACACACTCATCAAATGTAAAAAAAATCAAATAAAAAAAAGTAAAATATGGTTCTAAACAATAAAATAATAAAAATATTTAAATTTTACGAAAAATATTGAGAACAATTTTGAATTAATAGCATGCATGTATATATTATTTATATTTTCTTTTAATTAACCAATTTTTTTAGTTTTGGCTGTACTAAGGGTTTAGTTTGCTTGGTTACTAACTTGTACATACTTTTTAGCATCGCTTTTTATAATTTTAAACCCAGCAACCTCGAAAAGCAATAATAATATCGCGTCAATAATTTTTATTTATAATCGTACTCGTCCGAATTTAAATTAACGCGGTTGCAGTCCCGGTTGACTTAAATCCGAAGATTTGGGCACAAAAACACTTTTTGTGTTTTAGTTTTTTGACAAAGCGCGTTTTTCGGTATTTATTTTAATACAAAATCATGACTGATATAGGATTACGATATAAAACTCTTGACATTGAAATTTATTTCTCGTTTACAGCAATTTATTAAATTCAACAAGTTTTTGCTGTGGTTTGATTTCTTAGATCTTTACTAATTACTGGTTGATTTCTAATAAACAAATTAACTTCCAGAATAACATTGATGGTGTTTTTCTTGATTTCTAATAAACAATTTAACTTCTAAAATAACATTGATGGTGATGTTTGTCTTGTCTAAAACATTTTATTTTCCCAATTCTAAATTATTTCGCTTGTATGTATATTATCCAAGCAAATAATATCGTTCTTTCAACTGATATACTTATTTTATATTTTTTTATTATTATTTAATTTAGCATTAATAATACAGCACACATTACACAGGTTGAAAGCCGTTTATTTGACAATTTCGTGTAAAAAAACAATATTTTTTTCTCTAAATTGCTAAGTAATCGCTTTTAATGAATCACACTCTACATAATATTTAATTTCTTATTTACTCATGAGAATACATTGAGTTCTTGAATACATCAGCTTAATTTGCTTTGTATTGTTTTAGCTTTATATTAACTAAGATCATATATATCATCACAGTGAATTTTGTTGGCTTTGTTTTTTCCTTTGTTACCGTTTCGTTCACTTTATATACACATTGAAACACTATTATGATTTAAATAAGTAATAATTTATTCCATTTTAATAACAGCATCAAGGAATCTACATATTTAAAAAATTAAATATACAAATAACTCCTAAATGTTTTTTAATATTACTTACTGAATTAATTTTTTTTTGTCTAAAATGTATGTTTGACTATATTTGGTATGTCAAAATTACCGATATTTGATTGTAAATATGTTCTGCATATTTACTGCTAATCGTTAATACAAATTATTTCATTCATTGTAGGACTTGAAAAAGTCATAATCAAATAGCATTTTTTCACTGGAAATGACAGTAAAATGACGTTTGTCCAATTCGATTCGGACCAATAATAACGGAGATACAAGTCTGTGCCCTTTTGGCTTTGTTTTTTCATTTACATCGTTTATTTTTGTTTACGTCATATATGTTCACGTCAGCGAAGAGCGTAAACCACTTATTTAAGTTTCAGTTATCAGCACTGACATGTGGCGCAATCTCGCGTTGACTTTTGGTACAAAAGAGCCCGTACCCTCTTAGCTCATCTACTTCCCCGATATTAATAAATTGAAATTTGCTAAAACTTTTTGTCTCAATTTGATGAATTCCTTGGTTGAATATAAAAGTGGAATAATTTATACACAATCGCATAATGGTTGTTGCGTTTTTTGTTGCAGTTCTAACGATATTATTCGCCTCGTTGTCCTTGTACATTGGAACTTTAAATGCGGCAAAATTCATGCACAATTTAATGCTTAGCAACGTTTTGAGAGTGCCTTGTACGACATTTTACGACGTCACTCCTTTGGGAAGGATTTTGAATAGATTCGGAAAGGACGTTGATACATTGGATAACGTTTTGCCGATGACGTTGAGGGGTTGGGTGAACTGTTTCTATTCGGTTAGTAATTATTCTATTATAAGGTCTGTATTCCAACAACGATCAAAAACGAGTCACTGATGACAGGATTATCGTTGTTGGAACGGACCTTTTATAAACGATTTAAAATGTACCTATTTGGTAAATGCAGTTATATTTGAATTTTGGTTACGATCGGGTTAAGTAGTTTGTACGTGGATTAATTTAATTTTTCTAAATTTGTTTGGTATTAAAAAAAACGAGATTTTATGATTACGCCATCTAGTGGCCAAATTATAAACTTTAAAATAATCTGGTTACAATTTATGCTTTTCTTTGGACTATTTTAAGTCTTGAAGAAGATTGAAAAATACACAATATATCAAATTCTAATGAACAAATCCAATAATATAAATTATGCTTAAGATAATTTTAAATAAATTTACAACGTACCTAAATAAATTTTATTTAATCGCATTTTTACTAATAATTATCTCGATTATGATTGTCTTCCTTTATCCTTATAGTGAAGGTCTCCATTTTTATTTGTTAAGCTTTTTTTGTAGTTGTTTTGTGTAGTTTTGAATGTTAATTTTTTTCGTCATACTTGTGCTTCCAAAACAATTCCTACTTCGATTCTAATTATACCAACAAAATGAAGACAATTTGATACCTATATTTTTTAGTTTTAAAACATATTAACCTAAAAAGTTTGGTGAAATTTTTGTTTCGTCTCTTTTTAGATTTTATTGTGTCAATTTTTGAACATTAATTTCTATTATATTGGACAATATCAGAAAATAACCAGACGTTATTTTTCTTCGGTTAAAATATTCTTTATGCAACAAAGTATTCTCCAAAATATATTTATAGAATTTCACTCTGAACAACTAACGTTTTGTAATTTTTCAAATTTTACCTTATCAAGGTGTACCCGTTACCCTCTCCTTCAAGTCGGTTTCCTGCTCCAAAGTATTTTACAGACCAGTAACGTGCCTTATTATTCAAATTTCTTTCACCATATTGACGGTTGTTACATCAGGCATTTCTTTGACTGATGGCTTAGAGTTGACCCTAACTTTTTGTCTTATTGTACCAAGACAATCTTGAGTTTAGTGTCTTATAAGAAATACCAAATCAGTTTTGGAGATTATGTCCTATTATCACCTTGGAATTTTGATGCTGTAGTTGTCTACATTTGATAACCATTTATATATGTTGTTTTTTCGTAAACTTATAATAGTTTTTTTGGTTATTTTCTGATTGTCCTCTATTTTCATTTTAATAATTTGGTTACTCGACGTCAGTATAGGCTCAAAATATTGAGAATAAATAAACTCAACAAACCCAAAACCACCATACATACATTAGCATGCTCAATCCTTAAAAACAGCATTGTATAACTCAACCGAATATTTAGATTATTTTTTGTTTCTGCTTGCAATTTCCATTTTTTTTTCTTTCGTCGTTCGATCAAAATTGTTGACAGTACCATCGTTTGTAGCAATTTTCGTTTGTTCTTCAGAGGTAAACTTGACAATAGCGGCGCTAAACGCCGCGAACGAAATACACAAAGGTCTACTGTTCAACGTCCTACGACAACCGATGTTTTTTTACGAAATTTATCCGCTCGGTCGAGTTCTGAGCCGATTTTCGAAAGATCTGACCGATCTCGATACCGAATTACCGTTCAACTGTTACGAGGTCATTGAAAGCGGTCTCATAGTGAGTGTTTTGTGTATTTAAACAAACGGCAGTTATATTTAAATGTGAATCAATACCTTGATACGCTTATACTACCGTGATACCCTGATAAATACCATGATATTCTTATCAACACCATGATACCCTTATAAATACCATGAGACCCTTATGAATACCTAGTATCTCAATACATTGTATCATTGCATTCGAGCTTTGGTTTTCAAGTCAGTTAGAT